TTAATCACCACTGAACTATGTCCCCATTACTCTGTCATTTCTGGTCCCCCCGGGGTCTTTCTCATTTCCTTTACCCACTCCCTCTACCCACAAAATTGTGCAACCCTGTGGTTTCATCCCTGCCAATCCTCACCCTTCTTCTCCTGCCTGTTACCCCCTTGGATCCTCATACATGTTTTTCAACAATTAAAAATAAATACATAAACAAACAGTCCACATATCTTCTTACCAGAAAATTCAAGTACATTCTCCACAGCAAGGGGCACTGGCTGCCGTTGTCACTCTGGATGGCGTGTTCAAACAGGGCTTTGATCCGATTGGTTAAACCATTCTCGGGAATCGTGGCGTGGATTTCTCTACCTTCTATCCTGCAAGAGAAGGCTTAAGTCACTGAGTGCTCGTTCCATGTCACCAGAGGTGGTAACAGATGCCAGCGGTCACTGGGCTAGAGGGGGTCAGGGGACAGGCTGTCCCTTGGTCTCTGTGAAGGCAGGGCCACAGGAGGCAGAGTGCACGCTTCTGCGGCCTTTACCTGACACTGCTTCTCCAAAAGGTCACACACACACTCACCCTCACTCTCTCTCTCTCTTTCGGTCTTGTGGTTTTCTTCTTAAAAAACATAAAACCAGCTGCCACTGAGTCAGCTCTGAACCCTGAGTGAATTCCAAGTGCTAGAAGAGAACTGCATGCTTCAGTTCTAGTCCAGTAGCCGGGTTTTGGAAGTAGATCACTAGGTCTCTTGTCCAAGGTGTCTGTGGGCCGATTTGAACTGCCAACCTTTCAGAGAACGGGCAAGCCTATCAACTCATGTGCACTACCCAGAGACCAATCATCCAAATTTAAGTTATAATTTATGTGAAGGAAAGAGCTTTTCATTAAATTGGAGAAAATAAGACTCAAGGGGAGTGAATAAAATCTCAATAGGAGAAATAAAAAACGTCCCATGATGGTTACTATACAATGGGGAAAGAGAACGTGGGAGTAAAAATTGACAGACAGGTAAGCTGGGGGAATGGAAAAGCAATAGATAATAAGGAGTTGATGAGACACTGTAATTAGCTACATTAATCAACTATAATTAACATTATAAAACAAATTTATAAATTGTGCATGAATGATTGCCTGAATAAAAAAATCAATATGCTCTGTAAACTTCCCAATAAAAATGTGACTGTGAAATACTACTCAGAAGCCAGTTTGGGAAAGTGAAACGAAGGTTCTGTAAGGAATGCTGATGCCTCACAAAGGTGCTCCCAGGACCACCATTCCACCTTCAGACAGAAGTAAGACAGCAAACGATGACAGCAGAGATATGACACTGCTATTACTCATAAAAAGAAAAGGCAGTAATTATCCCACTCTGTTAGAGCAAAGCACTTACCTCACTGAGCTCTTACAACCCCGAGGTGGGTTCTTTACTGATTCCCAGCGAACTGCTGAGACACCCGTTTGAAGGGAAGTGGCCTCCCCTCAGGTCACTAAAACATGATCAGCGAAGGGCTGAGAGCTGAACCTGGAGACTTTGGTCTTAGGTTCCCAGGCTGCTGTCACTATAACTTCCCAGGAGGCTGAGATCAGAATGGACCACCCTGCGCACCACACACCTGAGCTCCCATACGCCCTGCCTGGGAGGACAGGTATTGGGACATCTCTGAGACCCTGCTATTGTGCAAGTAACGTATTCCTCTCCCAGCATGCCACTTTACAACACCTCAGCACCCACAGCACGTGTGACAGGCACTGTGCCATACTCACTTCTGTCCTCCTGAAACCGAGTATAGCAATGGGTACATGACAAGCCTTCCAGAGAGTTCTCTGGGGCACAAGACACAGACAATGGACTATTACCTCTGAACAGTTTCCACCAGTCTTTTTCTCATTTTCTCGGTTTCAATCGCAAACAACCAAGGCTCCAAGGATTTCGTCGACCTGGTGGCTGTGTCGAAGAATCTTCTGGTCTTGCTGGCGCTGTGGGACTTATGTTGAATCTGAACGTAAGACCTCCATAGAACCTGGTTGCTCGGATACAGCTTCAAAGCCTCGGAGAGCGCCTCTCGCAGAGGAGCCAGTGGGTAAACACTCACTTTCATGTGGAACTGGAGCAAACCCGTGTGCATCAGAGTGACCGCTTCGAGGGCACCGGCCAGACCCTGGGGGCTGCCGCTGTCCCCCAGGCCAGAGCCTCCAGGGAGCAGAGAGCCCTTCAGCTTTGCAAACACCTGCTCGTATATCCGCACGGCAGCATCTATGCCCATGGTCAGGTACTGGAAGAGCATAAAACACTTGGCCAAGCTAGCCAGGCGGTCAGCGGAGCTGGGGGGCACAGGGTCTGAGGCGCCGTTCTCCCCCAGGCAGTCGTGCAGAGCACGCTCATAGGCCTTCCGGGCCTTCAGCACTTGAACAGCCAAGACCTGCCCAGTGTAGGGCCGGTAGGGAGCACTCTCGGTCAGCCCGGTCAGCACGTGGACAGCCCGGGACGTGGAGGCCCCTCGCGTGTCCGCCAGAAGTTCCACCTCCAGCTCTGCATAGAGCAGGCTGAGCTCGCACAGCGCTGTGTCCTGCAGCTCCCTGGCCCCGGCCATGCTGAGCGCCGTGTCCAGCACCCTGCGCGCCTCCTCCGTGTTGCCCAGCAGCCACTCCAGGTGGGCGTACTGCTGCCAGAGATGCATGCTACTGCAGCTTTCGGGCTCCTTCAGGAGGTTCCTGGCGAGCTTTTTGCAGGTCTTTCCTTGTGACTTTAATTTCTTCTTGTTTTTTGTGTGCAGGCACCAAATAACCTACAGGGGAAAACACAAAACGCTGAGACAGTAAAGCGGCCTCGGGCCTGTCCACTCTGAACTCCGCACAGCTGGCTCCTCCCGTTCCCCCGTCACCTTGAACTCAGATTCTCGGCCTGTCCACTGTGAACTCCGCACAGCTGGCTCTGCCCCCCTTGTCACAGACACAGACTCTCGGCCTGTCCACTCTGACCTCCGCACAGCTGGCTCTGCCCCTCTCGTCACAGACACAGACTCTCGGCCTGTCCACTC